ATAAACTTTCATACATTTTTAAGTCAGAAACTTGATTCTTATGTATTGAATAACTGCAAAATACCGGTTGATAGTTCTTTTTAAATATTTATATAATAATTTAAACATTTTTTTGATGAACTTCAACAAGTTTTAAGTCCAAATTTAATTTAAAATTGACTTTTTTTCTGGACAACTTCAAAACATAATATAAAATTAATATATAAAATTAATATATATAATTATATATATATATATATATATATATATATGTCCATTGTTAGTTTTACAATTTTTCTAACTGTTTTCTGTTTCTGCAATTTTCTTAACTTTTTATCTTTTTGTAATTAATATTTTTTGTTGATTGTTATGTATATTTTTAAATATTTATTATATATCGAGTTATTAAAATTGAACCTAAAATATGTTCAATTTTTTTGATAACTTCCATACGTTTCGAGTCCCAATTTGACCCTTTCTCCAGTGCACACAACTGTAAAATATATTTTACATTATATAGATTATATACAGTATAAAAATATAGAACATTACATATATCAAATTTATAAGACACTGATAGTTTTTTAATATATTTATTTGTATTCTGTAATTTCTTCAAGATTAGTTTACCTTTTTGCAGTTAATATTTATTGTTGACTGTTTTATAATTTTTTAAACATTGTTTTCTTCTTAGTTGCTCACTGAAAAAGGCTCAAATCGGGACTCGGAAACGAAATAAATATATGCACGTACAATGTTAAAAACGATTTTTATAATATTAATTATTAACAATAAATATGAAATAGTTATAACCATGTGCGTTATGTTAACTATAAAATTTGAATTACGGCAGTTAGATTTTCCGTTACATTTTAAACTTACCGCGAAAATCTTTATTTATGATGACAGTATGTATTCGAATTTCGATTCTGTCATTTTTAAAACATCTTAGGTTAAGGTTGTATAACCTAAAATATAAATATATATTTACTTTACAGAAACAGATTATTAATAATATGTTAGACGATAGTTTCAAATTAATTAAACAAGGAGCCGAAGGAAGAATTTATCATGGCATATACTTAGGAAAACATGTATTAGTCAAGGAAAGGTTTAAAAAATCTTACAGACATCCAGATTTAGACGATATATTAACTAAGGAAAGAATGAAATCTGAGGCAAAATTAATTGTTCGATCCAAATCAGCTGGAATTAGAACACCTGCTATTTACATGGTCGATTTTGAAAGACGCATTATTATAATGCAATATTTCGAACAAAATATCACATTGAAAGAATATATATCTAAATACTGTAAGGATAATGCACAAGAACTGCAAGCACTAGGTAATAATTGCTTTAATATATTTAACAACTTCGTATTAATCATAATACTTAACTCTTTTTATCATTATCTCCATTATTTTCTGTACTAAGATGCTAGTCGGTTAGTTTATGTCTTCTAAAAGTATGCTCTCATATATTTTTTCCCAACACTATTCCAATTTCGCCAAATAATTTATTAATTTACAAACTCTGAATCTTTCAAACAAAGTCTGAATCTAAAAAACAAAGTTTCAGTGAAGCATCTTATAATTTAAGCATCAAACTTGCCATTAAATTTACTTTCTTAGTGCGTTATATTGAGTAATTACAATTTAAATTTATATCATCCCACATTTTTGTGCTATGTTTTAGGAAATCAAATTGGTGCATTGGTTGCAAAGCTTCATATAGCAAATATCATTCATGGTGATCTTACGAGCTCTAATATTCTTCTTGTGCCAAGTAATCCAGAATTGAAGGACTGGTCTGATAGCATTTCTTTAAAAAATTCAAATTTAATACTGATTGATTTTGGATTATCTCATATTGATACATCTTCAGAAGATAAAGGAGTAGATTTATATGTTCTGGAAAGGGCATTACTGAGTACTCATAGTGATGTTGGTGAAGTTCTGAGGAATAATATTCTACAATCATACAGAAAATCTTCCAACAAAGCAGCTGCTGCTAGTGTTTTAGAAAAGTATGAAGAAGTGAGAGCAAGAGGTAGAAAACGAACAATGGTTGGATAATTTTATTTATTTAAAATAACTTAAATGCTATTATTTTTATATAAAATTTCACCTTATTAAAAAAAATATTGCAAATATTTAATTTAGAATATTAAGGTATTAAAGATAAAAAAAATATTTAGAATATTTAGATTATTAAGTTTCATAAGACTTAATAAATTACTGAATACATAATATTAGCTCTGCACACATTTAAATGAGAGCTGTTTTATGTTTAATTATGAAAAGCGTACAATCATGAATAAACCATAAGAAAAAACAATTTAGTTTCAATTGTAATTAAATATAAAATTAGGCCTCATTTTTCCAAATGGTTTATTATACAAATTATAGAATAGCTGATGCAGCTTATATACAATTATAGAGTAGCTATGTTTATGTATTACCACCATGAGCTAATTCAGTTTTTCTCACATTGCTAGAATTGTTAATTCATATATCCAATATACCCAAGCAGTTTATAAAATCCAAATTAGAGTAAAATATTTAAAATTCCAATTAAAGTCGTGATGGCATACCACCTGCAGCCACTAATGTTTCACCTTAATATAACTAGCATCGTCTGACACCAGAAAAGCAACTACTCCAGACATCTCTGATGGATCTGCGAGTCTGTAAAATTACTATATAGATATATCCACTCTACCAAATCATATAATTTTCTGAAAGATTTCAAAAATACCTTCTCATGGGAACATTCATCAAAGCTGCTTCTTTTGCAGTTTCACTCTCATGTAACTACAGAAAGTAGTGTTACACAAATTCCGTTTTTTTTTAATAATAAATATAAAAATACTTACAGCACTGGAAAATTTAGTCTTTACAATGCCAGGAGCAATACAATTTACACGAATGTTTTCTGAAGCAAGATCATGACTAGCAGCTTTAGTTAAACCAAACAGAGCAGTTTTACTCACAGAATATGCACCCAAAATCTATAATATATTTTTTAATTTATTGTTTATAATAAGCTTTCTTAGATTCATCTTGATTGAATGTCTTACTGGAAATGGTTGAAGACCAGCAATTGAAGATACAAATACAATGCTACCACCTCCTCTCTTTCGAAGATATGGTAAGACTTCTTTAGCTAGCAAGAATGATGATTTTACATTCACATCAAATATTTTATCCCAAGATTGTTCATCGCACTAAAAATTTATGAACATAATGTTTATAACCACCAATAATTATTTAAAGACAATGAGGCAAAGTGACAACTGATCATCAAATCAAACCTCTGAATAAATTATGGTATCATTTTATAAACATCTCTTACTTGCAATACATGCCCAACTGTTGGATTAACAGCAGCATTAGAAACTAATATATCAATACCCCCATATTTTTGTACTGCTTGGTCGTAAAGTGCTTTTCTATCTTCTGCTTTTGAAACATGACAAACTACACCATGTGCATCAAGGCCTTCCTTTAACAAAGTAGATACAGCTGATTCTACATTTTTAGATTTGCGACTACTCACTACTACTTTAGCTCCTTCAACTCCTAAACGCTTTGCTATTGCAAATCCTATCCTATAATATATATATATATATATATATATATATATATATATATATATATAAATGATTTATGGAAGAAAATTGTCTATATAAATACCCATCAGTGGAAGCAGTTACAACTGCTACTTTTCCAGTTAACCTGTTGCAGTAAACTTTATTACTTGTTGAGTGCATTGTTCTAGATATATTGAAAATCGCATTTAGAAGTTTCATTGAATGAAAGTACGAGAATATAAATTGAAATAATTTGAACGTTAATTTTCTTCAGTATGACAAATGATATCTTTGGCTTAATGTTTAAACTAGATGCATTTACTGATCAAAAATACAATTTTGGAATTAAACAAGCGGCTTTGTAAGAATGAATTTGCAAAACAATCTATTTTGAAAGGTACTTTGGACTTCACACTTTTAATTATCGATATCAGCGTTTCAGTGTAGATCTAACCTAAAATTAAACATTCATAAATAAACATATAAAACTTAAATAAACAACATGAGAATGGATATAAGATATTAATGATCTAAAGACTCTTTTGTTTGTTTATTTTTTTGTTGCTGCATCAAACTTACTAGTTGTAAGTGGCATTTTGCCTTAAGGCAGGGGTCGGCAACATGTTGCCTTCAAGGGCGCAATACTAAATTTGAGACGGCGCATCGGTATAAAATTTTGAAAAAATTAAAAGATTTTTTATAACTTTATTTTCTTAAGAAGGTATTCGTAAGAAGGTATTACTAAATCTATGTAATATATATGATACTAATTAGTATCGGGTATAAAATTTTGAAAAAAATAAAAGATTTTTTATAACTTTATTTTCTTAAGAAGGTATTCGTAAGAAGGTATTACTAAATCTATGTAATATCGATACTAATTAGTAGCATATATATTACATAGATTTAGTAATACCTAATTATAAACACGTGTACAATATAATTTATAAATACATATAATTTAGTGTGAAACTTATGAGTGTCCGTCTTTTTAATCTATTTGTTATAATCGGGAATATATTCAGAGTCCCCAGTTCATATACTCTTCTTTTATCTATGCCCCAATCCTAGAATCCATTAGCCTGAACTGATGAGCTTCCTCATTTGCTAATTTTTTTGCCTCCAAATTCTCCGCAATTACTTCAATTCTTCTGGTGACGTTCGTGCTGATAATTGTAACATGTTTATAGCCCAAACTATTTTTTTTTATTTTCAAATTCTTTGCAATAGTTAAATATATATTAAATTTAATATGAGTTAATTATATAAAAATAAATTAAAATTTGAATAATTTGGCCTTGGTGTTAGAATTTTTTTCGTGTAATAAAAAAAAAGTTCAAAATTGAATAGTCTGCAATAGTTTCTCACATTATAATGCCCTACACTAACTCTCGGTATACGTATAAATTTATATGTTCATTTCTTATAGATTCAGTCGATTATTACTACATTTCGGGGAGTTCATGCAGTTTGCCTTAAGGCAGAGGTTGGCAACGCGAGCCCGCGGGCGCCATGGCGCCCCCGATCAACTTTGAATGCGCCCTCAGTTAATGTAAAAGTATGATAGACATAGCGGTTTAATTCCACGACTCCTGTTCTGGTCCTTTATTGCTCTGGCGACTAAGAAGCACGTGGTCGATAGTGAAAATAAATGAAACGCCGCTTTGTTATGGACTTTATGCTGCGTCTCCACTGCACGAATCCGTGCGGCGAATCCTGTTCGCGACGCACGCATGCGTTGGCTCTTGTGCGCGACGTACACTGCGAGCAATTTGATACATTTGAAATTTTTAGGATTCCATAATATTTTTTTCTTGATACAGTTCAATTATAAGAAGTGTAAAGAAGTATAACATCTTCTCTACGCATATCCATTTTCAAAATTGAGGATAAGATGAAATATCTCAATGCCTTCACTGTACAATTGAACTTATACCGTAGCACAGATCAACGTTTACGTACAAGTTCAAAGAAATAACGGATACGAATACAGAATGCAGGCTGACCAACAATTATCAGTTTTGAATAAAAATTATTACTTCTGTTCTAAATATAAATACTTGTCAGAAAAGACTTTGAGCAAAAATTCAGTCTGCATATTAATAAGATTTTAAATGATATTTAGCGTAATTGCAAATAATACAATATTACCATTTTTTTTTTGAAACATTTAATTTATTTTTAATTATAAATATATGATACGTCATATAAGTAGTAAGAGTATATATATATATATATATATATATATATATATAATACATATATATATAATATATATATATGTATTATATATATATATATATATTATATATATATATATATATATATATATATATATATATACATGATAATATCATGATGATATAAAATTAACTCTGAAATATGATAAATAAAGTCTACCAAAATATATTTTAGTTGGATATACATATATTCCAACATATCTATAACTTAATTACCGATGTATTTCCTATACTAATAGTTAGATAAAATTATAATTAGTACATCAATTTTAATGACTGCTTACTTACATTTTTGATCCACGCTTTGACGCTAATCCATTAGTATCGGTTCGGGTATTCTCGGCAGCCCGATGCGTCGGGTTGCTCGCGGCGGGAGCGAGCGCCGCGAACGCAAGCTATTGAAATTTTCGTGTCGCTTCGACCATGTTCGGCAGGGTACGTGATTCTAAAAATAAACCCCCCCTCCCATTTTCAAACAAAAAAAGAAGAAAAAAGTGCGCTATGGACATGCGCAGTGGACAAATTTGAAGGAAATTCGTGCGTTCGCACAGTATCACTCCGCTGCGCAAATTTGTTCGTGACGCACCATTCGCCGCACGGATTCGTAACAGTGGAGACGCAGCATAGATGTGCTAGATCTCGTCTAAGAACGTGTGCTATTTTTGGGGATGGAATAGTCCGTGCGAAGTATTTTGTCACATGATATACCACGGAGTCCAGTGACAGTGTTTTTAAAAACATCAAATAATTTCAAATTAATCATGAATGTACAAGAATAACATATTATTTTAACGATTAATGAATTAATCTTTATTGTTTTGTTGATAATAAAGGGAAGTATATTTGTTTATTGTGTAATAAGGGTGTTGCGATTCTAAAGAAAAGTATTAAACGACATTTTAAAACCGTCCATTCAATTTTGATAGTGACTATCCAATAAACTCTGAAATTAGAAGAAAACTAAGTGGGGTGTATGGCATTGTGCCTTAAGGCAAATTGCTGGAACTTCTCGTACCGTAACGAAATGTTCGAAGAATACTGAATGTTTTCAAATAGATATTATTAATATTGTAACATTGTCTAATATTTATAAGAATTATATAAACTGAATTGCAAAGTTGAAATTATTTGTTTAAAGTATATTAGAACTATAGTCAGAATTAAAAATAAAATCTGAATTATTTTCGATATTCAAAAAAAAATTTTTTTTGAAAAAAAAAAAGTTAAAACAAAAAAATTTTTTTTACAATATCAATTATTTTGTTAAGACAAGCAGAAAGTTTTTTGAATCATTTAAATCGGACGCTTACTTCTTTCAAAAACTTCCATTTTTTACATATTTATCTTCGAAATGGCTGGGCCTACCTTTGCCAAAAACTAATAAACACTTGTCCCAATCATTACTACCCAGACAACACAAGACATCCTGGAAAACGTCCACAGGATATCCACGCGCGGACATTCATTGTCCCTGCGATAGCCTTACGGATATCCCGCTTATCCTGATCTTATCCGAAACATGTTAATATGTCGCACCTATGGGACGTTCTGTAGGATATCCCGCGCGGGATATTCCGGACATAAACCGGACATGAATAGGATATAATTATGGAATTGTTTTTTACTTTTTAGATGAAAAATAAATTTGGATTAAAAATAAAATAAAAGAATACAATTTCACAAAGTAAACTTTTATTACAAAATAACAAAATCCTGAAATAATTTTATAACAAAATTTAATATATACAACTTTAATTCAAAATAACTTATTTTACAATATTAAAAATATAATTAATTCGGCATTCAATCCTAGTTCATGGTTGATTTTCTCTCCTGAAATAGAAAACAAATGAATAAATGCATATATATGTATATATATATGAGTAAGTTCTTTAAGAGCGATACATCAATCAAAATAGACAGAGATTTATAAAATAATCTCTAATTCCAAATATATCGACACAATTTGATGTCATTATGAGTGAATATTAAACTTGGTTTTTTACATCTAAAAATGTGTACACAGCACAAATTTTGCACTAACATTGATACAACTAACCAGTCAATAATCATGATTTTTTTGTAAATAGGAAAAACATATAGTACACATCTCACAAAAATACCTTGTATAATATTTATTGGCACGTCGCAGCCAGCTTTTTGCAGCCTCTGAAACAGTAAACTATGTCTCATGCGGCAAATTTTTCAAAGCAATTCCTGGAATTAATTATATATTAGTTTAATTCATAATTTACAACACATCATAAGTATAAGATATATAAATTACCTGTGATGACATCGCAAGGCACTAGATCACAAAATTTATTTTGCCCTTTCCTCGTCCCTAGCAAAATTCTTTGTCCAAACCATCATCAAAAATGGATTTTCATAGCTGGACTCTGATGGCTAAATACAGAATATAAAGAGAAAGTTTGTTTAGTATATGATAAAGTTAACAAATAAAAATAAATTTATATAAACTTTTGATTACCAATTGTATTTTGATATCTTTGCTCAGAAGAATAGCCTCATCCATAAGTTGAAGCTCCTCCAACAAACATAGTGGAGAGCATTTCTTCTTTGTTAATTCTCTTTCAAACACAGCATTTGATACAAAATTAGGCATGGCTGCTGGATAAGCTGGCAGGGTGGAAATGTCAGCATTAAATTAAAAATTCTATTTGTACTAGTAACATAGTATTTCAAATAACAGTACACAGAAAGCTTTAATTACCATCGTTTATATCTGCCCCCCTTTCAATATGTTGCTGCAATATTTATAACACACACGCACATATAATTATATAGAACACATAAAATTTCCACTATTATTACTCAATTTTAGAGTATTTTCATAAATAATATTAATTATTTATAACACACGCTCATATAATTATATAAAACAAATAAAATTTTCACTATTATTACTCAATTACTCAAAAACTATGATAATTCCACATATATAGCGTCTGTTTGATGACGCTAACCTTCTTAAAGGGCGCAAAACCGACGCGACGAAAGAGAAAGGGACAAACATATACGTTTAGAGGATTAGAGGTCTCAAGCCGTGCGCGTACGAGAGCGACATGTTCGTGAACCCGTGCGTTATACCTGCTCGAGTCCTTTGGTTTTGAGACGTCCCGTTGCATATTCATAGGATATTCATAGGATATCGCGATATTAGGAGATTGTGAGGACAAGTGGGACATTCCCTGGCATGTCTTGTGCTGTCTGGGTAATTGAATGTTTTTAGATCATTCAAATCGGATACTCCGTTCTCTCAAAAAGTCGATTTCTATTTTCTGCACTTTTTGCTCCGTATCTTCAAAACGGTTGGACCTGCCTTTGCCAAAAATAGGAATCGAATGTTTTTTGAACCATTCAAATCGGTTGATCCGTGCGCCCGAAAACGTGACTGGAAATTTGTATCCATACATAGATACACACACACACACGTCCATTTTTTTGAGGTATGCCAAAACGTTCAGAAACCTTCAAAACGTCGAGAAATGTAAAAATTTTCAATTTTGATTTTCGGCCTATTACAATAACTTACCCTACGGAAAGTTAAAAAATTCCTTAACATTTTCAATGACTAAACAGCAAAGTTTTTTTTACTAAAACGCTGCAACAACATAAAGGAGCTACGATTGCAACATATAAAATAGCGCATTTGCTAGCTAAAAATAAAAAACCATTTACAGATGACGAATAAGTAAAATAATCCATGTTAGAAGCGGCAGATTCACTTTATACTTTTCGTAGGACTATAATATTTTATAGTATCTCCGTTAAGATAAAGTATTAGTCTATATCGTCATACACAATATGGCGGAATGAACACCATATGAAGTTGAAGGACGTCAATTGATGACAATGGCGGAATAAACACCATATGACAGATGTCAGTTGAATAACGTCAATTGATGACAAAACTAAATTATATTGGGCTACGTTGATTCGGATCTGGCATCAAGCAAGCTATAACGATCTGATTGTTTTTATACGATCGAATATTATTGTCGCGCTTTTTAAAACGATCGAAAATATTGTATCGAGTTTTTTGCCAACGAGCGTTTTCTCGTGAACGAAATTTAGATTTGATTTAATGTAATATCAACATCTTTATCAATTGAGACATTAATAAACAGTCATTATCGAGTTGAAATAAAATTATTGCGATTTCATTCAAGAATTAATTAATTAATAATATATGGCCCACCAGCGCCATACATATATGTATGATTCATTAAAATCAATTAAAATTAATTCTATAGATTCATTAAAATTGTTGAAAAAAGAATTTTTAGCAATCAATTACGAAGAAAGGCTTTCGCCGATCTTTGTCAAATACCAATTACAACGATTCCCAAATAATATCATTCGAATAGTTTTTTAATTTGAAAATCGGTTCAGAATTTTTGACTAAAATGTGAACGAAAAATTTTGCAATTATCTCCTAATTCTAAAGAAACAGCTCAGCCGATCGTATCAAAAATCTAACCAACGCGAGTTCTCATCAAGTTACATCAAATGGTTTTTAAATATTCGAAATCGGTTCAGCCGTTTTTGAGAAAAGTTCGACGAAAGGCCAAATATCGGTTCACACACACACAAACATACTTTAGTCTTATTCGTCTGAAACGTCGAGAATTCATAAAAATTAGTAAAACAGATTTTCTTGCAAAAACAAACTTCTTCGGACGTTAAAAAAAATTATGAATAAGAACTTAAAATGTAACATTTAGTTGAACTTTGTGTTGACTGCTGTATTTAACGCACTACTTAGTTATTATGTCTTTGATATATTTCTCATCAATATGATTATAATATGACTATTGCAGTTCTCATATTTTTGATAAAACATTACGGTAGTATCCAATCAGAAATATATTGTTAAACATGAATATTGAAGAGAAATAGCAGAAAAAATATTTGTTTTTATAACGAAAATGTTTAAGATATAAATTTAATAAAAAAAAGCAAAAATTACATTTGGATGAGCTTTTAATTAGCATATATATATATATATATATATATATATTTAATATAAATATAATATATATATATATTATTTAATATTTATATATAATATTTCAATTATACATATTACAAAATGTAAAAACACACAATTGTAAGATAAAGAATATATTTCAATAAATAGCTCTTGATATTAATAAATAGTCTTCATTTTTTCGAAATATTGTATAACCATCTAAATAATTTATTAAATAACAAAAATATATTATAACTATTCCCGTATTAAAAGTACACACACAATGTCTTTTAAAAGTAATTGTCATGTATAACTCCACCATTTATTTTAATATTATATCTTTCCTTTACTATTGCACATTTAATTCATTTGTACTATCGTTACATTTATCGTCAATATTCCTTGGTACATATAATGGCATTCCCATAAATTTAGGAATAGCCTTACCATTTGAAGAATTTGTCATCGACGCTTTTCTATTTACTGTAGGCATTTGTTTTTTAATTTGTTGATACTTGAATGCACCATTTCCTGGCATGGATGGTAGCAATTTGGTTTGCGCAAACCAATATCTGTAAGTAAAATACCATACCAAAATAGCCAGACACGCTGCCACAAATTTTTCAATCATTATATGGAAATAAAGCATCGTGGAAACTAACATTACATCCCATAGTACAAGTAACATTGTCATTGATATGAACAATAATCGGATATAAGGTGTTACTTTACTGTACGATGTTTTTAAGGTGTAGAGCTCATTATCATTCAAATATCTCAGTGGATTTGAGCTTACTTGAAGCTGTTGCTGCGCTCTGAAATGTTCCTCATTTCTAATATGATCTCTAATACTTTCCCAGCCAATAATCGCTTTAGCTTCTTCCATAAGTATTAAACTGGAATATATAAGTAAAAATGTGTGTCCACTTATATCAAATCCATTCCAAACGTGCCCACTCCTTAAACATGTAGACTTTGTAAGGAAACCTTTTACTTTGCAATATCCATATTGTACTTCAATGTAATTAAAAGATTTGGTAAAAAACAGCCAGAATACAGTGGCTATGCCAAGTCTTAATAAGTGATTCTTCATTATTTGTTTTCTATTACCACAACAATAAGTATATGCGGTTAAGAGTATAAAGGGGACTGTTAGTAACAATGTCCACAGCCAGCCTATTTTAACGAAATATAAGTTAAAAATATTATTAGACCTAGAGAAGTAGGTCCTTGGTATTGAAGCATGGTCCGTTATTAAAGAAATAATGAACACTGCTGCTAAGTATATACCAACTTTAAGATTCACATTATAAAATATAACTCTTCTACACTGATGTAATATTATTAAATTTAACACTTCAGACATAGAAGTTGGAGGTGCTGTTGGTTTTGTTCCTTTGGCTTCTGCATTTTCACCAATATTTGGACGAAAATTCATCCGCGGGCTCGAATGAATTGGTTTCCTCTTAGTAGCCATTTGGTTTATATTGTTTAAGAATATTTGATTGCACAATAAACGAAGGAATAATGTTCAAGGTGAAGTGCATAGGTCACATACTTATGAATAAATTATTTTTAATTTGTGAAATAATGTCAACGATCATGCTTGTGCTTAATTTATTTTTGACTTCTATTTTAGAAATGTTTGTGGCATGACGGCGATGATAATGCTATAATTGTATTTTGTCTATAAATAGCAAGCAATTTTACTAAATTAAATATGAAACGAATGTATATATCTGTGGCACTTTATGAAATTTTGATTTTAAATATATGACATATTTTAAAAATTATTGTCAAAATTATTATTTTGCATACTAAAAATAAAAAAAACATCTGCTAGACTAAACATGGCTATTCTAATTTCTATTACATGATCAATCAGGTCACACTTATCCATTTTGATTAACATACAAGAGAGGACTAAAAACTGAAAAGTAATTATTATCCAGATAAAAAAAGAATATGATTAGTTTGATTATTATATTGTAAAGAGTAAAGACAAGATACAATATAATCTTGTCAAAGTATAATACGATTCAATCCATACTCTTTTTTTATCTATGTTTCAATCATTCAATCGACCACGAATTCAAAATTCAATAATGCCACGACTACTGCAAGGATTTTGTATTACACATTACATATGTATTATTTGCAGAATTTTGCTTTAATTTTTTATATCAGTTAAGGTTAATTCAAAAAATAAAGCATATTTTAGAAAATTATGTTACAAAAAAGCCTCTAGATTCGAAAAGTTTTGTTGGTTGTCTAGGGACGGTTTGTTTAATGTCAAACTGAAAAACGCGTTGTTTAAATAACTAATGAAATTATGCATTATATTGAAAAGTAATAAATATTATTAATAACAATAACAAATAGAAATAATATTTATCATAGGATATAATTAATCAAGAAGATAAATCACAGAATAAATTTTAGTTTCGCCTCCTTTCTATCTTTATTACCTTTAATATCATCGGGCAATACTATTTTATTTAATGTCTTGTTTTGGTTTAGTTTCGGTTTTGTTTATTTTTTATTAATGATTAACTTCTTTTTATTAATGATGCTAATTATTTTATAATAGTTGTTTACTATATATATTCAGATTTATTATAGTTTATGCTGAGCAAAAGAATTTTTTATCTTAGATGATTCATATTAGCTTAGATTTGTCTGCCACGTAAAAATTAAAAATAACTTTGCAATAATTGATCTCAATGAAAATGGAAAATGACAGTAACAGTAATGAAGATCGCATTATGTATTTACAGCAACGGAAAAAGGCTTTAACTTTATTATTACAAGAAAAAAATGAGTTGTTAAGAAGACTTTGCCTACAAGAGGCTGACATAACTGGTGTCATACCTTCTGAAACGCCAGAAGAAGTGCCAGAGGCTCCGCCAGATACGAATTATTTAAACGATGCCAATGTAAATTTAACTTTACGTCGTAAAGTCGAAACTGGGTTTAAGTTATCAGAAAATTTACTATGTGGCAGCATAACCAATGAAGATGATGAAGTTCGAAAATTACTTCTTGAGAAACAAGTACAAACGAGCATTGCAGAAGCAGCTCTTCACATGGCAAATAACTTGTCTAATAATAAAGCTGTGCGCAGGAAACACAGACATATGTATAAACAGTCTCAAGAAAAACTTGCTGGCATAAATGAGACTCTGACTAGGAGAATATCACAAATTCCTAAAAGTAGTTCTCTGGAAGTTGACCTACAACATAGTACTTCAGCAGAAGAAAATTTCAATACATCACCAATCATACGTCACAATAGTCACCAAAGCACAAGCAACAGGCATTCTGAATTCATTCCCGATAACTATTATTTGCAGCATGCTGATCATAATCCTAGCTCTTTTAAAGATATTAATAGATATACTCATTATAGTCATGGTGATATGCGTTATGTAATGCAAAATAATGAACCTCAAATATCTAATATTGAAGACAATATTGTGGCTCATAACTATTATATGAATAATAAACCAAATATACATTTACCAAATAAGTATAGAAAAAAGCCTAGACCACCAGTTGATGATCATTCAGTAAAACGAGATCAATTGAGTTTGTCAAAATATAATATAGATAATCAACAAGTGGGATATGTGGACCAATTACAAAATCAAATTTCAGACTATAGAAATACAATTGCATCAGATTCATTTTTTACATATCCCAGAAAGGATCATTATCAAAATCACTTTGATGAACCTGTAAACCATAATTCTGAATTTTTCTTTGAACAAAACATGGCCTCAAAAACAATGCAGATTAAAAATAAACCTTCTTACAATGTCAATCATCAGTCAGAAAGGAATTTATTTGGTAGTTTAGATCGCCGAAAAATTAATATATCCCCCATGGCAAGTGAAAATATTAGAGCAAATCAAAAAATTAAGAATTCTAATCGTTCACATTCTATTGGAGAATTAAAAATGGCTGAAGATGTTACTGACAATATATCTGTTGGTTCTCATAACAGTGGAAACACTTTAAAAGAAAAACAGTGGCATGAAACATCATTAGATGAACAGCCTATTTCACCAGTGAAACAGAGAGCAAAAACTATCAGCCATCCATATGATGTTCCTATTAATGCAAATTATAACGATAATTTTAGAAGTTCAGTACATGGTAAATATAATTATGATTATGTGGATCCACAATACCTTCAGAGTGCATTACCAAATCAAATTGATGGTTTATATGAAAAGAATTTTGTATATACAGAACCTCCAAGGCCTTCTCCTAAATTCATACCTTTAAATGTAAATCAAGCACAAACAGCGACAGCAACGGCAAAACCAGCCATGCCTTCTCCAACACAACAGTATTACGAAGGTAATGGTGACATCTTTGCAAAATCGCCCAAAGAAAACCATTTTAATCATTCTCTTCCACCTAAAACTGTTAATGAACAACCAACTAAGCAATTTTTATCACCAAGAACGGTTCCTGTGGAATCGCCAAAAAATATAGAAGTTGTATCCCCAGGAACGTGGTGCCCTTATAAAGAAGTATCAAAACCTTTTGAGATGTCAGATTTTTATAAATATTCTACAAAGTTTAGAAATAGACAAATGGATTGTAATACTAATAAACCACCAATGCCCAAGCCACAATCTAATGTCAGTGCAGAAATCAAACCTCAATACTCTGAGCATTTAGAATCTAATTCAGATCCTATTCAAAAGGGAGTTTACCAGCCTTTGAGACCTTTAAAGTGCCAACCATTTTTAATGCAGAATCATAATATTGAAACCGGATGACTAACTTATGTAAGTTAATAAATAAGTTGAGTGTATAAAATAAGTTTATTAAGGAAACAAGGATACTGTGATCAAAACACATTTTTTATCAATTTGTCCACTAAAAAACAATAATAATTTCTCATGCACAGAAAAATAATGGATCAAATTTATTTAACTTTATTATTACATGTTTTTTTGAGTGCATGTTATATTATAAGACTAATTCTACCATCATTGCAACAAAAAAAGCAACTTTTTAGTTCATCTGCACATTAAACAAATTAATTTTGTTTACTTATAATTCATATAGCATTTCTTGTTCTGATTTTTAGGTTTATTTTGTGCAAAATGTGCCTATATTTAAAACAATGCAAAACAATTTGACCAATTAATTCTCAAACAATATAAATTTTGAATGCTTTGTGATGATGTATTATAGAATATTATTGAGCCAAATTATCATATTTATTTGAATTGATGAGTACCTTTGATATTAATTGTTATTAATAGCTTTTATTATTAGGTTATTTCATTTTCTATATCTATATAATTCAATAATTATAGTATTTGAATTATAATATAAGTGCCTTTTTTATCATTAATGCTAATGTAAAATAATTATATATATATATAAATGTATATAAAAATATATATTTTTTAAAATATGTTTGTTCTTTTTTTTCTTGTGGTAAAATATTATGTTAAATATTCAACTAATTTTAAAGATATATTAAATTGTTCATATATATAATACAATTAAGATAAAGAATACATCACATACTTCTGCATTTCAAAACATTGCACAACTCGCTCAGTGAACCCGCACGAACGATTATATATATACAAATATTTTCAGAAAATTTAAATATTGGGGTTTAATATATATTAGACCCAGACAATGTGTTGTTTTTTTATATATCCCCAGAAAGTTTTGCTAATTTTTGTTTTCATTAAAGTCTACCATCCCTCTCATATTCATAATCTTTCATCATATATGCTGGATGGTATTTAATTTGACCATCTGTTGTAATATATTTTAAATGTGGATTCGGCACAGTATTACTTCGGGAGCCTAAAGATGTATAACTGAAAAAAAAACTTTAGGTTGGTCACTAAAAATATTACAAATTAAAAGAAAAAGAAACTCGATGTTTATACTCGTGTTTATGCATAAATAATAATTATAATAAATATATATTATTTATATAATATATATTTATTATAATTATTATTTGGATTTCACTAAATTATTTTAGTGAGCAAATAAATGATTTAGTAATTACCCTTGATCATAGAGTGAGCAATATGGAACTTTATTAGTTATTATGTAGTCCCAAATATCTGACAAATCCCAATCTAACAGCGGGTTAACGCGCAGAAGTTTAGGCCAACCTGGGTCCGTCATCTAAAATTAACAAAAAAAACAAATAACATATTTGAGATCTAACATCATCTGATGATGCATAAAATATTATAGCAACCTGAATTGCTTCCATTTTGCCACAATGTGGATCAGTTCGTCGTGATCCCATGAAACTAGCTTTGAGTTGAGGTTTCGACACTGTCAGATCTTTTAAAGCCAGTTTTAAGGAAGAGTCAAATGTTATTAGATTTATGGGGTACAGATTTTTGCACTCAGTCACAAAACTTTCTATCTATGATATGGTAAAAAACAAAACTTATTGATACAACAGTAATAAAACATGTAACTCCTAGATTTTAAAAGTTAGTAATATATTATTATAATAATTAAACAAGTAATTGTTTGCCTTACTTATAATAAAAATATAGAGTTTAAAAATTGCAGAAGAGAATGGATCCCATAATGCTGAGGATAAAAAAAATCAAAAATATTTTTAACTTTCATGTTTTTATGGAATATCATTCTGAATCGAATGAGATATTTGTAAATATATGCCTGTATTTGAGCCGATTTTTGAGCTTTCATCGACGTTTTCTCAGAAAACGGCTGAACCGATTTCAAAAATTTAAAGGCTATTCCAATAAACTTAATAAGCACTTGCGTCGCCGGTTAGCTTTTTGTTACGATCGTCTCATATTTAATTTTTTCGATCACGTTTTAGCCTAAATCAATTTTGAAAAGTCAAAAACCATGCGAAAGATATTTGGAAATCATGTTAATTATTATGATGCTATAGCATCTATGTATATACGTATAAGTCACTCATAAATAAATATATTGATTTCTTATTCGATTAAGTGGATCATATAACTAGTTACTAATAAAAGTTATATACCTCAGGAAAAGGATCATTAGGTCTCACATATAAACAGAGTAATGGAGGTGCATCAGAACCATATTTAAGTTTATAAACTCTTTGGAGTATATGTAATAAAACAGTGCAATCCTTGCCCCCATTGAAAGACATAAAAATTTCATCTGCCTCACATTGAGATAAAGATTTTTCTATTACCTGAAAATAATCGAAATCTCATCAATTATAGTGATAATCAACCTTATAAATAAAGTCATATCAATCATTTTGACACAATCATTTAATTCACTGATTATGTCTATAAGACACCGTAAAATAACTGATTATATTATTATTTAACTTATTTTTCTCTGTTATTTTCAACACAGAGTTTTGAGAAAGCAAAATGTATTCTATATGCTGCTTCACTGTTTGTATAATGATTACAAAATTTTAGACATTGGTTTTTAGAAACATTTACGTATTAAAAAATACTTTACCAGCAGTTGTACATGATAATTCTCTAGAAGACATTGAATATGGTTATTGAAAAGTTACATTTTTATAATATATTTTTTGTAAAGAACACTAGGAAGAATCAGAATAAGGATAGGATAGTTATATGATTTTTTAAATATTCCCAAACATATAGAGTATGGTTTGTTGCACAAAATTATTAGATTAAATTGTTACTATGCTTTGTTGAACATATTTCACAATATTTGTGATAATATTATATAGTTAAGGAAGTATTCTGGTCTAGAATTTTAGTTTTTTTTATATCTTCAATGTTAATTATTAAGAATTTGTGTAGACAAAGACTTTTGATAATTTAAATTATTTTCGAAGATATCGCTCTCCGAAACTTTAAACACATTTTCTTGAAATTGTCTTTTTCAATACGATACCCACGATATCTCAACTTCTACTGGAGCAATTTTCTTGAAATTTTTAGCAGCATTTAAAACTAAATAACCATACGTTCAATTTTTATGACGCAAAGGTCCTTCATCATGAGTCGAAAGTCTCACAAAGACGCTTTTCGGAATCGGCCTATATTTTTTGAACAAAAACTGTATCAACAAACGAACGGACAAAAGCTTCATCTGCGAAAATTACCAATATGTTCTAAATAATGTTTCCCAATTTATATCGAATACCTAACACCATGCGTTGCACAGCGCGTCTTACTTTTGGTTCTTTCTCAAAATTTTGACCTCACATTTCGATTTTTACAGAAACTTTATTCTTGTTTGGCATACCTCGGATACACGAGTGCTTACGTATAATATTCTATTTATTAATTATTTTTTATTCTTTATAAAAAAGAAATTACTAACATTTGGTGCTTGTTTCCAATTATTAATTTTTTATAAGCTGTTATTAATATGTGTAAGTGATAATCTAAGAATTTCAAGTAAGTAATGTTTTATGCAATATTTTAATTTAAGGTTTAGCTTATCTATAAGGCTAAGCTTTCTTTTTATCCTTGCTCTATGTATATTTAGTTTTTAACGTTACTTTCTGTTTTTTTAGAAATTGTAGAACCACTGACGATGACGTAGAATTTTACGTCGAAACGTATGAAAAAATAAAGATGTTTTAAAAAATCTTTACTTTATTTATATTTTTTACTTGATGTTACGCCCTCCAAGAAATTAATCATACAGAAGAATGAGATGGCGAGAAGGAAGAATATAGACAACTGAAAGCCGATACACAGGACCAGGAAGCATGGAAGCAGAAGTTTGAAAAAAAAAACATAAAAAATGTATTTAAAAAAAATTAATATTTTAGCAAATTTTCATCACATGTTAAAGAGATGAAAGATTGAAGAATTACAATCAATTTAATTTGTTTAAGAAAAATAGCGTGAATGAGAATGATAGACGAGGAAGGGCAAGAAATGCATTGATTTGTGGTGGCTCTAAGTTATAGTAATCGCAAAAAATCTAAAATGATAATTTTTGCATATCTTTACGTTTTAAAGGTTTCTGAACATTTTGGCATACCTCAGAAAAAATGGATGAATATGTGTGTGTGTGAGCGTTTGTAGTATGTTGTTTGGATACAATTTTTCGTCCACGATTTCGGACGCACAAATCAACCGATGGTTCAAAAAACATTTGATTCCTATTGATATGAAAACGTGCTGATTAGTTTTTGGTGAAGGCAACGTTACAGGTTTAGCCGTTTCGGAGATATGGGGCAAAAAGTGCCGAAAACGGTAATTCAGTTTTTCAGATAACGGAGTACTCGATTTTGAATGATTTAAAAAACATTTTACTTGTAATGACGAAATGAATAATTGATAAAATTTTTGGTAAGGCAGGTCTAGCGGTTTCGGAGATACAGAGGAAAAAGTAAAAAAAAAAGATAATTAGTGGTCAAAAATGAACATTAGTCGTATGCGCATCAAATTATCAGATATTTTTAATGAAGTTTTAAAAAATGAGTACTATTTTACTAATTGTTACAATTTTGTTGGGTTCCATACCAAGAATTTTGATTTTTAAAGTTTACTTATACGGTTCAAACAAATTTCAAAATTTTTCGAAGAAAAACATTTCAAAATTATTAAAAATATACAAAGTTTTTTCAAATATGAATTTTATATTTACCATTCAGTTACAAAATGTATATATTTCAAATGTATTATTCGAATTCGATTAGAATTCTAATTGTAAGAAATATATTTTCAGACGGATTCATTCGATCACCTCCTGTTAATATAAACTTTCTCAAGTGCTTTGAGTGATAAGATCCTCACTTAATTTTATGAACAATAAAATATATGTATATAGTGATTATAATTAACTATTTGAAAATGTATAAAACAATTGTTGTAAATCATTGATAAATTTTTATTAATTACTGATTTTTTTTCCTCTAATATATAATTCTGGTACGAAAGTTCCAACAATTTGCCTTGAGGCACGATGCCATGCACTCCACTAGTTTTTATTATATATAATAATAAATAATGGGTAGTACTGCCCTAGGGCAGGTCTGTGAGCTAAATTATACTGGAATTCGATTCAGTGTGAGAATACACACACACATACATATATATATATATATATATATATATATATATATATATACTTCTTCAGATTATATTGAGGGCTGAAATCATGTGTATGCGTCTTGTGCTAATTTTATGAAACCTCCTATTTCATAACTTGCTACAATTATTATATTTTGGTTCTAAATTATCAAAGCATTAATTGATAACTTGTAAAAATATATAAGTAACTATTTTGTTTGCCTTTTTAGAGCATTTCAAAATTTGCATAGAACTCATGCCTTTAGACCAGAATACCCCCTCAAATTTAAACTTATTGCACAAACAGTGTGTATTGTATTCATATTCACACAATTGACATACACACATAAAATATCATTAACAAAATTAATTATCTAATAAATGTAGAAATAAATCATCCGGTTTATAGCATCACAATGGTTAAACAGAAAATAGCAATAAATTATATAATGAATATTATTAACCTCTTCAGCTTCGGAGATCTTCGCTTCCAAATGCCTTTTTAAATGGCCATTCGTATCGTTATTGTTGCACTTCATTTTATTTAGTTTATTTAAACCAATCAAAAACCATATAACGTACTATAAGTAAATGCTACGTTTTCATTTCTCAATAATAACCTCGAAAGTCATATCCCATTATTAATGACAGTCAATGTCAGAATTACGTACGTATCATTTTTTCTTACAGTATCATTAAATAGTAAACACATATTATCTATTCAAGTGTCCGATTGAATAAAAATAGTTTTTTTTAAATGTGCTTCCATTCTAGATTGCTGAAACCAAGTTTATGTCAAAAGCTTTGTCGAAAAGTGACATATGTTATCTGCATCTGACGTGGAAATCGAATATGTTATAGAAATAAAACCTTGTTTATTTAGAGCAAATAATAAATTTTTCCATGTTGTGATTAAAAACAATTTATTTTCAAGGTATGTTTTTTGATAGTCTATAATTAAAATTATAAATAATTTTGAATAATCATTTTATATATCTATCATAACCCTACCTGATTTTCGTCCAGATACCTTATATTTTTATTCAATTTTAACTATCAGTATTTTTATAGGACGTCCACTGTTTTTATCACATTTTAAATATAATTATCATAGTCATACATCATATTTTTAATATTTGTATTTTGTCTACTATCAAGTCTTGTTTATAAACATTATGTTATTATTATATTAAAACATATACCACCATTAATTTACTTTATTATTAAGTATCTTTTTGAAAAAATAGTTTTGGGGAATTTTCATCACATGTTAAAGCGATCTATTTCAATTGGATTATTAAAGAATTACAATCAATTTAATTTGTTAACAATATCACATTTCTAATATTCTATTTGGTCATTATGTCACAGGTCAAATTAACAAAATTATAAAATTGATAGGCACCGAAACAACATTTACTATGTACAAATTTTATCTTGATATTATCAAGATCAATCTATATGTAAATTGTTGACACAATCAATTATTTAATATAATAATTAACTAAGACATTAAGTACTTTTTACACAATTAAAGTCAAGCTACAATTCTTGTTAACTTTTGTATTATAATTGTTTAGTTTAATATTGATTACTCAGGTAACATTTGCAGCGCTTAATATTTTCCTGTTGAAAGTTAAATTATTAGGAATTGTAAGCAAATATGTATTTCTGAATAATTTATTTTAAGATACTATTTATTTCAAATGTTTTCAATTTACAATTATCAAATAATCTTGGTTTTATTAATATTTCATCACAATGTTATCCCATTCTCATATATTGTCAACAAGTTCTACTCATTGTTTCCATTAACAGATTGCAAAAAAAAATGAATTGTTGAAAAAATAATGTTAATAATAACTTAAAAACCAATCTATTATGAGTGTAATAAATTTCTATTTGCCATAATGCGACTTATAAGTAGAGATCTGAAGCAAAGCCCTTCACCCGACAGCATTTTTACACATAAGTCTTAGAAATCATCAAAGATAGATAGATTTATTGATTAAAGATTTTGAGTATATTGATTTTCATCCGACCAGTTTGATTTCCTTGAGAGTATTGAGGAATTTTATTTATATCATTGATAATCTATTCAATAAATTTAAAGTATTTACTGAATTGATTATCAATGATATGAATATTAATAAGTAAAACTAAATTCCCTTTACAAATATTGAGTGTATGTCTTACATTTTACTAATTATAAATATTCTGAAACTGATAATAAATTGTTTAAAGTACTTTATCTAATATTTAATTAAAAAATATCTTGTTTTTAGATGTCAGGATCATTAAATAGAGGCCCAGGGCCTCCATTTACTTCTGAAGATGAGTTTCTTGAAAACTTTGAGCAAACCCTGTCAGTGCAACAGGTATGTTAATTATAAGATATAGTTTTATGTTAATTAGGTTTTAAATTATTTTGAAAATGACATATAACCGCTATGTGTGTTTATAAATTCTGTGTGTGTGTTCTAAAATCAAAAAGTATCTTTATAAATTCATTCAAAAATAATTCTAATTAAGATTTCATTCATTCTTTAAATTTTTTTTTTTTTTTAAATTATTTTTTTTAGAAACACATGTCTGAGCTTAAAGAGCAATTGCTTCAATTTGAAGCGGATAAAAAGGAAAAGGCTGCTTCAGTCAAACTAAAAGCAGATGAATGTTACCAGAAGTTAATGAGCCTGAAAAGCGGAGCAAATAAATCAAAAAGCAAAGTTCTGAATGAAAATGGTAATTTTTTTTGGTATCATATTTAAAAACAAACTTAAAAAAATAATACATTTTATTATAAATAGTGCAAAAAAGTGCAGTGTGCAAAGATAATAGATATATCAGATGAATATCACAATTTATAATGTTTAACATTAATGATTATAAAAAATAATCTTCTTTTTTCAGTTGACTCAAAGCTTTTAGAAGAATCAGTTTCAGAGAAAACTTCAAAAGTGGCTGCAGAAGGTATAGCCAAAGAGAAAACTTGTGATAAACCTTCTACACCTATCTTACCACCTAGTCAAAAAATGATGCTATTAAAACAACAAACCGAAGAAAATAAAAGGAAGATGGCAGAGAGAATAAATAACCAAAAAGGAATTGCATTGAAAGTTAATAAATTATTAGAGCAATTTGATAATATGCAGCCTGTCTTCAATCCTGTTGTGGGAATGAGTTCAGAGTTAGCTGATTGCTCTGATGTAGATTTGTTAAGAAATAAAATCCAAAGTTTAGAAAGAACTATTTCACAATTAAACACGCAATTGCAAGAATCTAGACAAAAAGAGAATATAAATAGTTTATTAAAAAGCAATATGTCATACACAGAATTACAAAATGAATTGAATTTAGATGATAAAAGTATGCTTGAACATATGAATACTCTTTTAGTAGAAAAGGATAACGAAAAACAAGATTTAATGAACCAAGTATTTGATTTACAAGAAAATTTGAAAGAAAAAGATTCTGTCATTGATTCAAAAACAAAAGCAATTACTTTGATGTCGGAAGACTTGTCAAAAAAAGGAAAAAATACTGTTGATTTACTAGAAGAAACAAAATTGGAAATGGTTCGCATGCAACATAATTTTGTACAAATTGAGGCCAATTTACAAGAAGAAGTAAATAGTTTAAAATCGGATTTAAGTGAAAAAAATACAAAAATTGAAGAATTATTGATGCAAAATGAGCAATTAGAAAAAGATAATCATTTGTTACAAAACCTATATAATTATAATGAAGGTGAATCAAATGTCGATAAAAATGAAATCGAGAAACTTAAATTTGAAATTGAGGTAAAGGATAAAAATATAGAAGATCTTTCTGAGAGGAACAAACGTCTCGAAGAACAATTTAGCATTTTGGAGAGAAAATTACATGATTACAAAAATCAAATTCAACAAATGAAAATTCAAATGAAAAAATTATTGAATTAGAAAAAGAGCTCGAATTGAAAAATAAACAAATTGAAAATCTTATAGAATGCAATGATAGGCTTGATATTGATTACAAAAATCTTCAGGAAAAGTTCAATGAATATATAAAATCTCCTTCTGAATATCATGAGAAAGAAATTACTCAACTTAAAGATGAAAATAAAAACTTATCTGAAATAAATTTGCAGCAAGAAAAGAAAATCAATGAATTAAGTGCTGACATTCAGTTGATGATTATACAGGGATCGCAACAAAGCTCTAAATCCCCCAAAAAAGGTAACAAGAAATTTAAAAAAGGCCAGTCAAATGTAACTGTTGACAATGAACAGATTTCTGAGATGCAAAATCGTGTTCAACTATTAGAAAATGAATTATCAGAATATCGAGCATATATCTCTATTAAGGATGATGAAAATAATAAATTAAGAGAAGAAATTAAGGAAATAAAGACTCATTTGGAGACTAAATGCCAAGAAATAATATTATTACAAGAAACTATCACAAAATTGGAGGAGACAAAAGATCAGCATAATAAGAATGAAGATATATTGAAATTACAACAGCTATTAGATGATACTACAGCTAACAGTAAAAAACAAATCAAGTATCTTCAAAAACAGGTAATTGAAAAATATATACCCAACATTTCTCTAAATTAAAACTTTGCAGCATACACACACAAATTGATACGCACGCATGTATACAGATGCCCGTAAAATAAAATCATATTCTGGTTGTAGGTGGATTCATTTGGAAAGATTTCTGATGCCCATCAAACTGTAGTTAATCTAAACCAAAAAGTATTTGAACTCAATAACAGGGTTGCAGAATTAGAAGAAGAAAAAGGAAATTTACAGTTACATCTTGTGGATTACGATACTAACCAGGGTGAGATTATTATTGTACTTACAAAAACATTACTTACTTTATGCAGCCCGTGATTTAAATAGGTTGCTCCTTCTTACTATTAATCAATGATAGTGTTCTCTTTTCAAAATTATTTACTATTTAGTTATTTTTTTTCTAATTTTATTTACTAAATACATATATCTGATTTCTGTCGAAAGCCACCGAGCAATACATACAAAAAAAACATAAAAAATAGACATACAAAAAACGATATTTACGTTTTTCTTCTTCCTTGATTTGAGTTGGAGATCACTTCAGCTCACGAAACTGCCCTAGGGCAGTACTACCTACCCATTGTTACTGTAGAAAAACTGTCACGACGCAAAATAATTATACTGACAGTGGATTCAACCTGCTATGCCTTTGGCATACGGCTGACAGTAACTTTAGATATTATTGTAAATGTGAGTTCTTCAATGACCACAAATCCCTACCCAACAACATACACAGTCATATCAAGTTTACAGCAGACACGTTTTCGTTAGAATGCGGCGCCGAATTGTTGGTAAATTGTATTTGACGGGAAGGGTTATATTAAAATCAAACTCATTATTTTTAATTATACATTATAATTTTGGTTTTACATATATATGTAGTTTAAACTAGTTTTTTTTTTAACAGTTCCTGACACAGAGATGAGCAGCAAACTAGTGGAATTAAAATCCTTATGTCAGGCACAAATAAATTCAATAGCACTACTAGAATCCCAAAAATTCGATTTAGTACAAGATTTGCATATAGCTCGCCAACAAATATCTTCATTGGAAGACGAACTAGCTGACTTAACTCAAACAGAAGAAAATGTTGTCAGTTCTGAAATAAACAATATACAACTTGAGGAGAAATTGGATAGTTTGTCTAAAGTTAATGAAGAGTTGTCTCAAAATTGTGATGAATTAAGAAAAGATAAAATTTCTTTAGAAGCCAATGTTATAGAATTAACTAAGATACAAGTGGATCTCACAGAAAAATTAAATGCTTGCATATGTGAAAATGAAGAAATGGTAAAAAAAATTGATAGAATTGAACGTCTAAATGCTGAGAAAGTATCGTCTGCTGAATCAATTGAAATTGTTGAAAATTTAACTCATAAAGAAAAATTGGAGATCGAGAACTATGAAAAAGGTTTATCGATTTCGGAAGATGAACCACAAGAAATTCAGGAGCAAGAGGAGGATGTGATTATTTCCAAAGATGTTGTATATGATGAGGATGATATAGATTTAAATATAAGTGTAGCTAAATTAACAGAAGAAAGTTCAGATTTGATGGAGAAAATAGCACTCTTTACGCAGGAGCGTAAAGAAGTTATGGGAAGATTGGAGTTGTTGACTCTTGAAAACCAAAATTTGGTTGACCGTATATCACATCTAGAAAGTACATCAGATTGTAAGCTAGAAGAACATGAAAGTTTGATGAAAGATAATGAAAAATTGAAAGTACTAAATGAAGAAGTAATAAAAGAGAAAGCAGAGTTATTGGAAAAATTAAACCAATTAACAGTTGATAGAAATATTTTGCAGCATGACATGAATACCTTATTAAATGAAATTGAAGTTTTGAAAGAACATGGTAATAATACTGAAGTTTCTAGTATTCAAACTTGTTACGAAGCACTACTCGAAGAACACAAGAACTCCAAAGAAGTTAATGAGATGCTAAATCAAAAAATTTCTGAATTAGGTGAATCATTTAGTGACATTAAAAAGAATTTACAAATTACACAAGAAGAATATGAATTACATAAGCAAACAACTTTCAAAAGAGATTGTGAAATTAAAGATGTTATCTACAAAATGGAAAAGGAACAAGAAAAATATCAACAAACTATTGAAGATCTGAATAAGTCTAATTTGGAACTTATGGAAAAACTAAGTACTATGCAAAATCAAGCAGATGAAGATCTCACAAACAATATGCTCATGTATAAAAGTCAAGTCGATGGCTTGAATCAAGAAATACAAAGGCTATCCAATTTAGTGAAATCTTCAGAAGAATCTGATAAATTATATAAAGAATTCAGTGATCTTAAAATCAAATTTGAAGAAACTGAGCGGGAATGTTTGAACTATAAGCAGGAAATTTTAAATAAAGATTTGACTATTAATGCTTTGAATGATCAGATAATGGAATTGTATAAGCAAATCGAACATTTGACAAACGAAAATAAGGATATGGAAAATGAGATTAACGGATTAATGGATGAAGCTGCAAGAAACAATGTTAAAATCAATCAATTATTTATAGATATCAAGAATAAAGATACTGAAATTGAGAAATTACTTGATGATTTGAAATCAAAACAAAATGAAGTAATGCAAGTGCAGGACAATATAAAACAATTGCAATCTTTGCAATCTCTAGATGATGATAAAATTGCAGATTTAGAAGAAGTCAACAAGAAATTAGAAGCCAAAAATAAAGAGAATATTGAAAAGATGAAAAAATTGGCTGCAAATCTAAAGAAAAAGTCTGCTTTGTGCGTCGAATATGAAACAAAACTCAATGAAACAGAAAAAGCTATGGAAGAAATAAAACAACAAGATGATAATAAATCAAAAGAATATGAAATAAATGCAAAAACAATGGAAATTCAGGAATTAAATAAAAAAGTGCAGGATCTCTTGCAAGCAAATGACGAGTTAAAAAAGAAAGAATCAGAAAAATCCGAAATTTTGAACAGAATTAAACGCTTGGAGCAAGCTATTCAAGAGAAAGAAAGCCAAAATAGTGAATTGTTAGATAGAATAAATGAGCACAAATTTAATTATGAGACTTCTCTTGAAGCATAAAAGCAAAATTAAATGAGAAGGAAGTATATATAGAATCACTGGAAATAGAGAATAATAGTAATAAAGAAAAAGTATCTAAACTCATTGATGGTTTGGCCAGTATCGAAGAAAGAAGACGAATGCTTGAGGAGCGTGCGGAAGTTTTAGACGCCAAATTAAATGAAAAAAGTGCAGTATGTTCGGAGTTTGCAAGCAATGAGGATCTACTCATAAAACGAATGAAAGCATTGGTTGATGAAGATGCGGTTTTAGAGAAAAAACTGCAAGATCTTAATGAACAAAATGAACAGTTGAATATAAACATACAAGATCTAACTAAACAAAATCATGATTTAATATCCCAATTAAATAAACATGAATATAGCCTACAAGAATATAAAAATGTTGAGAAAAGCTTAAGAAATATTGAAAATGAGAATATGAATTTACAGTCACAGAACAAGCAGCTTCAATCTGACTTGCGGCATTTAAATGACAATATAAGAGAAAAGGAAGAACAGCATCAAAAACAATTAGATGAAATGGAAAATGATTTTAGTTCTCAATTACAAATATTACATAATGAAAGGAGAGCTTCAGCAGAAGAATTAGAAAAGCTTCGTGATTGCAATGATAGTTTGCAAGATGAGATTGTAAAATTAAAAGATAGTTTACATCAGTTGGAACAAAACAAGGCAGACTTAGAGCGAGATATAACCTGGATAAAATTGCAAAATGATAGTATGTTATCAGTGGCAGAAGAAGCTGAAGGTTTAACAAAGAATATTGATGAGAAAGCACACGAAATTGAAGATTTGCGCGAGAAGCTGTCTAAAGCTGAACTAATGCTTTCTACAAATACCAATATAGACAAACCTTTACTAGAAAGACTGCAGGAAGAAATCAATCAGCTTAGAGATAAAATCCATCATAAAGACAAAGAAATTGAATCTTATCAAAGGCAAAATATGCAATTACAAATGGCTGCAAGTTTTGGAGTTGCTGACGAAGTTCCATTTTACCAAAGTTCTTTTAATCAGGATGATATTAAAATAGCATTAGAAGAAAAGGATAATACCATTAAACATTTACAGGAAACAATAAAATCATTGGAACAAAATATTTCTCAAAAATCTGATGTTGAAGTGAAACAAAATGAGCAACTTCAGCAAAGCAATAATGAAGTGCCTTTCTTCCAAACGTTTTTCGGCCAAACCTCATCTAATCAAATTGAAGACTTTATAATTTCAGAACAATCAACAAAGAATACTGAATTAAACACTGTAGTAAAAGAAGATGAACTGAGAAGTGTGCGCGCTCATGAAAATACTTTGTTCTCACAAAATTATTTCAATCAAGATCAATGTCATCAAAGCACACAAGTAAATCAAGAAACTGATAAAGAATGCATGGAAGAAAAAGTGAAACATTTGGAGATTATTTTGGCTGTAAAGACAGAACACATTGACGAATTGCAGAAATTGATCATTAAAAAAGAAAATGAAGTTACAGCTTTGCAAAATGGTGCATCTTCATTAGCATCAAGAATGGAGGAGATGATTGCTGCTTATCAATACTTACAAAATGAATTTGAGAAGAAGCAAAAAGAAGTTAATGAACTAATTCAACCCAAAAGTATTTCTGCAGATTTGCAAAAACCAATAGATAATTTGGAGGTGTTGAATTTACAAAAACGCATTGAGGAATTGGAGCAAATGCTAGAAAAAGCAAAAAGGGAAAAGGAAGAAGCTATTTTTAAAATTCAACAATTAATCTTTGACATGGAAAATTTGAAACAGCAAAATGTCCAATTTGATATTGAACAAAAGGGTAGTATTCCAGAACTCGTTAATGTCTACAAAGATGTTGTAAATGTTAGTCTCCCTACTTATACTGAGACTGGTAAAACAGAAGTCGTTGAGGATGTCATAGTTGCAAAGAAGACGTATGTATGCCATGATGATGAACCACAAGAAGAAAGTGGTTGGGCATTTGATATTGAGGATCCATTTTTGGAAGAAAATCAACAAACTTCTTTTACGCTTCCAGTACCAAATTTAAGTATTAAGATTGAAACATTACAAAACCAAGTGAAGGTGCTTGAAGATGAAAATGTTAAGGTCAATGAAGAATTGAAACAATGTCAAACTAAGTTGACAAAATCGATCATGAAACTCAAAGAATACAAGAATAAGAATATTGCTTTGCAAGATCAGGTAAAAGCTCTGCGTACTTCCTCAGATGGGTTAGATTCAGCCATAGAAGAAGTGCTCACATTAAGAATTGAGGAGCTGGAAAATGAATTGAAAAACATCAAAATTGAATCTGAGAAAAATTTGGCTGATAAAAATAATTTGAACAAGCGTTTTGATGCTTTAGTTGCTGCCAATGAAAAAATAATTGAATCCAAAAAGCAGCAAGATTTAGAATTGGAACGACTTAATATGCTGGTTAGGCAATTGCAATTGCAACCAAAGCATGAAGATCCTGCAACTTGCATCACAAAATCTGAAAGTAAGAAAATAAAGCATTCAAATGATTTTACGAATAACACCGAAATAGAAAAACTTCAGAAAGTCATTCAAGAGATTTCTATCGATAATGAGGAACTGCAAGCGTTGCTGGATGAACAAAAGAGTTCTTACGAGGAAAGGGAAAAGAAGTTATCTAAGGCCAATTTAGATTTGAGTTTTCAAGTAGACGAATTAACTAAAAAGATTCAAGATGTGAGAGAATTTGCAAGAGCCTCCCAAAGTGAAGAGTTAGATTCATTACAAAAAAATTTACAAACTTATCAAAATATAATATTAGACATTATAAGGACTTATGAATTAGACTCGAATGCATCAGAACATATAAATGTAAACGATTCTGTAAACACGTTTATTAAATACTTGGCAATTATAGAAAAATACGTCAAGTCTTTAAAACAAAATAATGATGAACATGTCAAAACAATTTTGGAAAATAAGGATCTAATAAATAATTTAAACCAACAAATATTAGATAAAAGTCGCGAAATTGATAATTTGCAAAAAGAAATTCTAAATATTAATAATTCTCGCATAACGTCGCATCAAGATGAAACTGATAAAGCAATTAAGCAACAAACAATGCAGATAGAAAAATTGCAGACTGAACATGAAAATGAAAATTATCAACTTCAGATAAACGAAATGCAGTCTATTATTGCTATGGATAAAAGTACTATTGCTGAATTAAATAGACAATTACTTGAAAAATCAGAGTATGTTAATGCAATACAAGCTCAATATGAAAACATTGCGAGCGCTAATGCAGATGTTCAAAATTTGCATAAATATATAAATGAATTACAAAGTCTTATCGATTGCGATAAGAATACAATTAGCAGCTTGCAATCAGAGTTGTTTGAAAAAGCACAGAAAATAGAACATTTGGAAAATATTGACAAAGAATTAAGTATGATTAAGAAACATAATCAAGATTTAAAACAAGAAATTGAAGGTCATCTTAAAACCATAAGCGATTTACAGAATACATTATCAGCATCAACCACCATTCAAGCTGATAACGAATTTTTCAAAACTTGCAACAACGAAGTGCTAAATTTGCAGCAAGAAAATTTGAACCTAAAACAGATTATAGAACAAAATAAAACGTCATAGATGATCTTAATACCAGATTGTTTGATGCAACATCGCAAATAGAGCGTTTACTTCACACTAATATCACAACAGATAAAAATGAAGATTTTATTCTTAAAATGGAGCAGTATCAGAAAACGATTGCTTTATTGGAATCCGAACTTTCAGACAAAAGCAATAAAATTGCTCAGACGAATTTTCAAACAAACAACAATGAAGAATTAGCGAAATTGCAAAAGCAATATGATGAATTAAATGTAAATTACATCAATATTTGTGAAGACTTAAATAATGTTCAGAGCAGTGAAAGCAGATTGAAAAGAGATATTGACGAATTCAATAAAATGATTCAAAATCAACAAAGCACTATAATAAATCTTGAAGCTAGTCTTTCAGAAAAGTCCAAATATATAGAACAGTTGCAAAACGAGAATAGTACATCAGCCAATGAGTGTGGCAGCCTACAACAAAATATTGATGAATTAAATACAGCTTTGGAACAAAGTAGAAGTCAAATCGAAAATATGAAGTTGCAATTGGTAGAGAAAACGCAAAAAATAGAATTACTAGAAGATGGTAAACGTGAAGGAAACAAAGAATTCAAATCAAGAAATCAAGAACTGGAAGACAAACTTCGAGCGTGCAATGAACAATGGTCTCAAGTTGTAGAACAACGATGCCGAGAAATTGCTGACAGTTGGAAAATACATTTGGTGGACATTGAGTCACAGTTTGCTGAAAAAGAAATTGCTTTATCTTCTCAGATAGCAGGACTACAGCAACAGATTCATAATTCCAATGTTGAACTTGAAAAGTTTTATTCTTCGCCAAAACTTGACGATGAAGTAGTTTTACTGCGCGTTGCAATTGAAGATAAACAAAGTCATGTAGAAGCATTGACCAAAGAAACAGAGGACATGCGATTTAGATTAAATGCATTAGAAGAAGATAATAAAAATAAAGATGAGAAAATAAAACTTCTGGAAAAAGAGCACTCTGAGGCTCAATCAAAATCCATTGAAAATGCTAATGAAGAAATAAGGAAACTAAATGATATTCTAAATAAACAGAGACAGGATTACATTAATTTGGAATCTAAATTTGACGAGCTTAGTCGAACATATGAAGATTTCAAACACCAAAGTGAAATTGATATATCTTCAAAAAATATTAATATAGAAGGTTTGACAAAAACATTGGCCGAAAAAAGCAGTGAGTTAGACATTGTTTCAAAGGAAATTCAAGACTTGGCTTTAACTTTAGAAGAAGAAAGAAAACAAATGGATTCAATGCGAAGTGCTCTAGAATCGCAGGAACTGGAACTGGTAACTTTGAAAGAGCAACTAGGTTTGAATGCCGACAAAATCGTATCACCACTAGAAGCTGCTGCAGTCAAGAAGGTGAGAAACATATAAGTTTTTTTTTGTTATTATAATAGTACTGCATTAAAGTCTAAATCTCTAATTAATATACAATAATGTATCAATTATTACATATAAGTCTTTATTGCCGAAAGCAGTTAATATTCATGATAAAAAATTAATGCGGATTTTTTTTTTAACTTTAACGAAGGTGAAGTTAATGTTTTCATCAAAAATCCGATTTGCTAATTTTATGTTTTCTCGACGTTTCAAGCCATTCTGAATCGAATGAGACCAAATTTGGAAAAAGTATGTGAGGCGCGCGCGCGCGTTTGTTTGTATGTGTGTGCGTATGTGAATTTTTCGTCCACGTTTTAGCCCGCAATTATGAATCGATTTTGAAAATTCAAAAACTGTTCGAAAGATATTGGGTGAGAATTACGCTGATTAGTTTTTGATTAGATCGGCGGGGCCGTTTTCTTGTAATAAAGTGTTAAATTTTTTTGGCGATTTTTATGATTTTTTTTGACGGCATATTATAACCATAGTCTTTTAGATCATACTAAAATATTACGGATCTACGACAAATCGTTAAATTTTAAAAATTCTTCAAAGTTTGCAAAAATTAGTATCATTTTTTTTGGCATTTGTCAAAATTAGACTTTTCATGGACGTTTTCTCAAAAACGCCCGAACCGATTTCAGAAATTTAACAGCCATTTGATGTATCTCAATGAGGACTACCGTTTGTCAATTTTGTGCGGCGATCTGCCAAGCCGTTTATTTCTAATTTGAAAAAAAGGGTTCAACTTTTCGTCCACATTTAAGCTCATACTACCGAATCGATTTTAAAAACTCAAAAACTGTTCGAAAAATATTATTTGGGAATGATACTGATTAGTTTTAGATCAAAATCTACCGAGCCGTTTTCTTGTAATTAACTGTTGAAAAAAAATTAAGCCGATTTTTATGGAACTTAATTTTGGCGATATATATCATGGTCTTATGAACTTACTGAACGTACTAAACCATTAAAGTCCTACGGAAATTGGTTCAATTATAAAAATGTAGGATTCTCGAAAATTTGCTTTTAGAAAATACTCCTTCGTTCGTTTTCAAATATGTGTAATAAATACATTCGGAATACTTTTAATCACTCATAAATTAATTTATTTTTTATTGATTTAAGTCGATTATTTACACGTATCGGGGAAGATCATGTAACTTGCCTTAAGGCGAAATACCAATACCAACTAGTTTTTATTTGAAATTCTTAATAAAACTTTTACAATATAAATATTATTAATTAATTATTATGATAATTGCATAATTAATTTTCAGTTACCAAATCAACCAAGTACATCATCTGTTTCAAATCCTACATCTGCAAATCAATCAGAACTTGATCTTGCAATGTACATGCTCCATCAAAGAGATATGCGCTGTGAGGAATTGACTATGGAAGTTATGTCACTATTACAAGAAAGGGATACTCTTCAATTAAGGCTCTCGAACGCTTTACGACTGAACGAATCGATTAGAGATGATGTACTGACTGAAAACATTAGCCCTTCAAACAAAGAAACATCCACCACTGATGGTCCAACTGCCTCTAACGAAGCAGATCAGAAAGTCAAAAAAGGAGCCACAGTGAAGAAAACTAAAGATTTTGAAATGTTGAAAAATAAGTAAGTGATAAAAATTAGATTATCAGAAATGAAAATTAAAATATTTTTTTTTTTTGAATTTATAGTAGTAATTAAATTTGATTTATTGAGCTATAGAGAGATTGTCTAGATTTACAAATATATAAGATATTAGGACTAATATTGTCTTTTATAATCAATTATCTGCATATCAAGATAATTCTTATTTCAACCGAAATAAACCTTGATTTGATCTTGTAGTACAAAGTTATCATATGTTTCTAGATTATCTGAATTGCATGCCTTAGATCATTCCCGAGATTTAAGGATATTTGATGACAGGAAATTTAGACAGGAACAACAAATGGCCTTAGTTGAGAGGGATTTTGATAAACTTCCACAAGAAGCCAAACAACAATTGATTGATGCTGATTACACATTATGTAAGAAAAATTATTTGCTTTATTAAAATTTATTAGAAATAAAATATAAATAACATTCTGTTTTACAGCTCGTGATTATCAAGGCCCATCAACCTCGCTATTGAACTGGTTGTGGGGAAAAGGTACAAAAAAAGTTGATCATTTATAGCAGAAAAGATATATATTAGTGTGTAAGTCCAGAGTAATTTTAAATACTTAAAGTTATTTTCCATTGTACAAATAAACTATTTATATAATGAATAGATATTTTATATAAATATTATTAGGCAGACTATTTGTTTAAATATCCAAATATAATATAATATTTGAAGTTATTGTGTTTTATTCCTTATATAAAATTTAATTTAGATATTTATATTCTGAGAAATTATTTAAAATGTAACAGCATTTGAATTACTTTTTTAATTATTAAAACTATTAATAGAAATTTAGAATCTAATTGAGATCTAGTAACATATTTAATATTTTTATATTACGTAATATGTAATATAACTTCTGAGACCATTATATTTATTATATGTTATATGTTTATATATTTACAAACAAACAACAGAAAGTACTAAATTTTGCAAAAATAATTAAATTTGAAACATGTTCTACAATAGAGAAATAAGTCAAGATATTCACGATCACCAAAACTTTCACATGGAATACTCCAAGATGATTAATAAAGAACTTGTAAGCCCTCTGATAAGTGCAAACAGAGTTCACAACAAATTACCAGATGAATTCAATGAAATCAATGATGAAATCAATGATGGGCTTATATAAATTCAAAACTAAAGTGAAAAATTATCAGGGGAAAACAATATTAGGTGCTTCTTTATGCTAAATACGAACAATATTAGGTGCTTCTTTATACTAATCCGCCTTATACCACGTGTGTTTTGTGATTTATTGTCAAACCGCACTTAAGTTCCATAAAAATCGGCTTTTTTCAACAGTTAATTACAAGAAAACGGCTCGGTAGATTTTCACCTAAAACTAATCAGTAGTTTTTGATTTTTTAACATCGATTCGGTGAGCCTAAACGTGGACGAAAATTTAACACTCTTCTCAAAAAAACGGCTCGGTCGATCTCCGCACAAAACTGAGAAACGATAATCCTTATCGAGATACATCAAATGGCTTTTAAATTTCTGAAATCGGTTCAGTCGTTTTTGAGCAAACGTCGATGACGTCGGTCTTATTTTGACAAATGCCAAAATAACGATACTAGTTTTTGCAAACTTTGCCGAATTTTTAGAGTTAAACGATCGAAGGGCCGTAATATTTTAGCATGATCTATAAGACTATGGTATCTACCGTTGAAAAAAAAATCGTCGAAATTTTTTTAACACTTTATTTTACAAGAAAACGTCCTGACCGATCTCTACCAAAAACTAATCAGCACGGTTTTTGAATTTTCAAAATCGATTCAGAACTGCGGGCTAGAACGTGGACGAAAAACATTTATAAGGAAACGGCTTGGCCGATCGTCGCACAAAACTGACAAACAATAGTCCTCATCATTATACTCTTCTTTTATCTATGGTCCTCATCGATATACATCAGCCGTTTTTGAGAAAACGTCGATTCACGGCGAAAAATCTGTTCACACATACACATTTTCATGTAATTTCATAGACCTTATACAATACATGGACTGCTAGTTGAGCGCATAAAAAGTGTCAAAAGATGTTCTATGGTATGAGGGCGTACGAGGGTAATTTTGCGGCCGAGATATGTCAAATACGAACACGAGCTTTACCGAGATTAGTCGAATGCACTCGATCGCTTAAATTTTGCAGTTACTTGGGTTCACGTGATGTTTGATCGTTCGGGTTTTTAAACTAAAAGAGGATAAAAATATACCTGTTGTAAAATTGTTAAAAGTAAAATGTCTTCTAAAATGTGTTAGGTAAGGTGCCTGATTGCAGTAAAACCTGTTTTGTGCTGTTCTGTATGCTTCGCAAGTATTCCGGGAAATTCGACATTGATCGATATAAAAAATCGAGGATATCCTTATATCCTTCCGAAGAAATGTTTAATTTATGTTTATATATTGAAAGCCTAATTCAAAATTCTTTAAATTTAATGTACAAAAGTTCATATGAAAGCATGATCTCTGAAAGTTGAATGACTTGGGACTTGCACATTTTTTTAGATCAAGTTATTTTCAGCAATTTGTCCAGCATTATCATGACCTTATCACTTTGTCGCAAAAATTTACTTAACAATTAGAATGCACCATGAAGAAAGAAAGAAAAGCAAAGTTGATAAATATGTACTCCGCTTTCATACGAAAATTGTGCTTTTTAAACACCAATAATAAATATATTACATTTAAACAAATATTTCATTATTGGTTTCTAATTTCCCATAATAGCTCTAGCCAACTGTCCTTATTTTCAGTGAATTTTATAATATGTAAAATATTGTTTAAATTTTTTTTCTAATTTCCCTTAAACACTTTGTATAACTAAAATAAATAAATTAATAAATAAATAGTTCATTACATTCATAAGTTCAACATAAATTGTATTTTATATAATATTTTACCAACAATTTCGAATACACGGACTTTCATTTGACGTTTAAGCGATCGAGTTTGACATATCTCGGCCGCGAAATTACCCTCGTATGCCCTCATACCATAGAACATCTTTTGACACTTTTTTACTTGAGAAATGTATGGGGACTAGCAGTCCATGAAATTGTATAAGGTCTATGTGTAATTTACACATACACACACACTTTTGGTCATAATTATAATATAAATTAACACATACACATACAGACTTTTGGTCATAAATTTGTTCTCATTGGATTCAAAATGGTTTGAAACGTCGAGAAAACATAAAATTAGCGAATCGGATTTTTTGATGAAAACAAACTTCTCCTTCAGGAAGTTAATAAAAATTAAAAAATATAGAAATCTGCGAAGAAGGCAAAAATAATACAGTTAAATAAAAATATTTTGTGGCAATAAATGTATAATAATAATAATTAATACTCTTATACATGTATGTATTACATATAACATAAATATTACTCTCATAGATAAGTAAACATGTATACTCTTCTTTTATCTATGATACGACGGTTACAAATACGGATCAAATTAAATTTGAATTTTGAGCTTGTTTGACATATGGCAACACTACTTCGTGAACGTTACAGCTTTGGCAATACCACCGCCATCTTTATGTTGTTGACCTTTTCGCGTTTTGTTAAATGCTGCTTGTATAATTTTTAAGTGAAGGGCTTGCTTCTTCAAACTTAAGCTGTACTATAATCTAACATGAGTGTACTGTGCTAGATGATATTTTGTAAAATATTACAAAAACTAAAAGTGTGAAATGAACATCATAACAGTGTATTATGTTTTGTTGATGGCCTAGTAAAGCAGCTGCTTATAGTTTTTGTCTAACGTACATTGTTATGGATGCATCAGTGATATTT